CACTGAGCCACACCCCAGCCTCTCACTGGGGGATTCTAGGCAGGGGCTCTACCACTGAGCCACACTCCCAGCCCCTCACTGGGGGATTCTAGGCAGAGGCTCTACCACTAAGCCACACCCCAGCCCCTCACTGGGGGATTCTAGGCAGAGGCTCTACCACTGAGCCACACCCCCAGCTCCTCACTGGGAGATTCTGGGCCGTGTTCTACCACTGATATGTACCCTCAACTTCAAGAAAATTTTACAAAAGTGTAACATACACATACATACACTTGTGGCTTGCACAAATTATAAACATTGTTTCTCTGAATTTTCACAAGCTAAACACACTTACATAACCAGCTCCCTATCCTGAAGCGGTCCCTTCCAGTCACTAACCTGCACACTTCATACATACAAATGGTGTTCGTTCTGTTGTGTGGTGTCACACCTGACACCTTCTGCCCGATATCTTTATCAGAGCCACGTGGTTGCGTAGAGTTTAGTCTCGTGACAATTTACATACCTGTCAAATAGAGATGGGTGTTGGATCTTGTTGTTATGAGTCATGGCACCAAGAACGTTGTTTCGTATGACTTTCATGACCTTGTTTTGACGTTTCTATGGGTGCGTTCTGAGGATTGGGGCTGCTGGGTCGCCCTGTGTCTGAGCTTTAGCAGAGGAATTTGCCAAAATGGCTGCCTCCCTTCCCTTCTCCACACAGTGTGTTCCACCACTCTCCATTTTCCCTGGTGATGGTGCATAAAGGTGCCGCCACCGCCAATGGCAGCATGGTGCCTTTTGTTTGTGTTTGACCACCTTTGTGTGTCAACTGGCCGTTTGAAAAGGTCCTCTTTTGGGGTGTTTTTGAGAAGTTGGAGCTTAGCAAGTGGGTGCACAGCTGTGATCCCAGAATTGAGGGGTGGAAGCAGGATGATTTGGGGTTTCAGGCCAGCCTGGGCATCATAGAGAGACCCCATCAGGAAAAAAAAAAAAAAAAAAACAACCCAAGGACTGGGGATGTGGCTCAGTGGTCAAGCATCCGCCTTGCGTGTGTAATGCCCTGGGTTCAATTCCAGTACTTTGCCAAAAGTGGGGGTGGGGGGAGTGATAATGACCTTTTCCTTAATTTTGGAATTACTCACTTTCTGGATACATGCCCTTTGCCTGAAACCATGCATCACAGACATCTTCCTGCCCTCTGTGAGTCACCTGGCCTATTTTTTTTTTTTAAGTTTTTGTTTTGTTTTGTTTTTTAATTTTATGTACATGGGTGTTGTGCCTACATGTATGTCTGTGTGAGGGTGTCAGGTTCCCTGGAACTGGAGTTAAGGACAGTTGTGAGCTGCCATGTGGGTGCTGGAAATTGAACCCAGGTCCTCTGGAAGAGCAGCCAGTGCTCTTCTTAACCACTGAGCCATCTCTCCAGACCCTAAAATGCTTTATTTACTATGTTTAAATTTCATTTTATTTTTATTATTTTATGTGTGCCTTAGTTAGGTTTCTGTGGTAAAAAACAACAAAAACACCTTGATCAAGAGCAACGTGGGGAAGAAAGGGTTTAATCTTATAGCTTGTTGTCCATCATGCAGGGGAGTGAGACAAGAACCTGGAGGCAGGAACTGATAAAGGTCGTGGGAGATCACTGCTTAGTGGCTTGCTCTCCATGGCCTATTTAGCATGTTTTCTTATAATGCCTGGGACCTCCAGCCCAGGGATGGCCCCACCCGCAGTGAACTGAGTCCTCCTACACCAATCGCTAATTAAGAAAATGCCCTACAAGCTTGCCTACAACCCAGTTTAATGGAGACGTTTTCTCAGTTGAGGTTCCCTCCCTCTCAGATGATTCTGGCTTCTGTCGAGTTGACATGAAAACCAGTCAGCACCGTGTGTATGAGTGTCTTGTCCGCATGCATGTCT